GTTTACTCTCCACATCTCAGTTTTCTCAATTATAAAAAGGGACAATGCCCTTCACATGAGTTTTTGTCAGGACTGGAAATGTATATCAAGAGTTTAGAATATGGCCTGGCCCACTGGTAGTTCAGGGTTTACATTTTGCATTAATTGCCATTTGCCCTAATAATTTTCATGAAAAAAGGTAGTCAACCTACTGCTATCCGAAAGAAAGTGACTTCTATGGTCTTTCTGCACTTTCTCTCCATAAAAGCAAGTGTGTCCCTAAAATGAACAGCCCTTTCCAACTTTCTCTCATCAGTGCTACCACAAGGCCCAAATCCTCCAAGGAAAGAACTGGTTGGGCTGAGCAATTACAGAATAAGGGAGTGAGGAAGGAAATGAGGAAGTGGCTGGCTATGTTAGGCAGGGAGGAATGAAGGGAACTGACATCTAGGGCCCCGGGTCCTGGAGAATTTGATGAGCAGTTCAGTGGGATAAGATAGTGGAATGAGTGAAGAATGGGAGACTCTAACCAGTAAGTAAGTTTTACAAACACATCATTTTAGAGATGGAGTCTGGGTGATGATAAGGTTGGGGCTAGCGGTAGGGGGATGGGAGACACTTGCATGATGAAAAAGTAGGGAATATTAAGAAACTGAGTCCCAAGTATCAGGTCATTTATGTGGACCAGTAATTCTGTTTTTTTCCTTTTCCTTTTTTGGTTATCACAATGACATGGGTACCATTCACATTTGGAGGCGGACAAGATGATAACCATCTTGCATAAAATAGACCTTGTTGTTGTTAAGTGCTGTTCAGCAGGCACACCACTCAGTGAAGGGGAAGATGAGAGCAGTGTGGTATATAGTTAAGTGCTGTAACCCTCAAAGCCTGAGCTTAGAAATTCAGAACAAGGTATGAAAAAACAAGGGATGGCAAACAATAATAGTGAAAAGCTAGGAGAGAAGCATCCAGGACTTCAAACCAGTTGGTTCTGGTTCAGACCCCCTTCTAGAAGCCTGCTTTTCCACTCCTGATCAACTGGATCAGAATCTACATTTTAACAAGATCCCCAGGTAATTCTTATGTCTCACATAGAGGATCTGTAAGAATCACCTAGGGATCTTGTGTTAAAATGTAGATTCTGATTCAATATATCTGGGGCCGAAAAAGCAGGCTCACAGCAGGCGGCTGGACTGGAATAACCCAGTTCCAAGTCCAGGTAGCAGCCCTGAGTCCTAGAAAGCATGTGGAGAAAAGGCATGAAGCTGCTACTCAGAGACAGAGTACAAATCAAAGGAGAATCAAGTTCAGTTAAAGAGAGGTGAGGCTTGGGATGGGGAAAAGGGTAACAATGTAGACACATTTCTCTGCAGAACAGGGAGTTTCCAAGTCCTATTAATCATCTGTCAACACTGTCTCAAATCCTTCCCATTTCCTCCTATCATTCCTTTCACGTGGGCTCCTATGAGAGCCTCATAACTCATCTCCATGCTCTCAATCGCTCACCTTTGCTATCTACCTTTTGCACTGTTGCCAAAAGTATCTTTCTGAAATACAAGTCTGATCATGTCAGTCTCTCTGCAAAATGAAACCTTCAATTCCTTCCACTGCTGATCTACTAAACCCTAATCTTAGTAAGGCATTAGAGGCCTTCCACTATCTGGCCCTAAATGAACTGAACCAGATCTTAGCCCCTCCTGTATCTCTCCATGCCAGACTGCTTGTTTCTCATTCCTTTTATTCACATTCAGCTTCCACAATCCTTTGCTTGAAACTCTATCATAAATCTTATTCATTCTGTTTTACTGAACCTAAATTCATAAGTCTATCTCTTCTACTACCAGTGTTTCCTAAACTTCCCTGAGGGCAAAATTTACCTGTGATACTTGGGATAAACAAAGATTTCTGAGCCCCAGCTTAGACACTTAAAATCTTAAGGGAGGGGCCTGTAAAACAGTTTATGATGCTTTTAAAACATGTCTACAAAATCTTTGACAAATTTCTCTTGCCCTGAATATGAGCCAGTTTTCCGGACTCACTTCGAAAGAAGGGTTTGTGGTGTAGGTGATAGGTACTGTGTAACTTCTGAGCCTGGTCAACTTCTGATTCCTCCCTTCTCTACCATTCTGGATGCTTGCCCTTGGAACACAGCCACCATACCATGTGAAAGCCAAGTACCCACATGGAAAGGCCACGTGTAGGTGTTCCCACCCCAGCTGAGAGCCCAGATGACAGCCAACATCAACCGCCTGACTTTTGAGTGAGTGAGCCTTTTGATGATTATAGCCCCCAGCTTTCTGTTTATTGTGGTAAAATATACACATCATAAAAATTTTGTCATTTTAACCATTGTTAAGTATACAGTTAAGTCCTGGTGTAGTGCTGTGGGCTAATGTCAGACTGCAAAGTTGTCTGAACTGCAAGATCAGTGGTTCAAGCTCACCAGCTGCTCCTTGGTAACCTTATACAGGGTCGCTATGGGTCGGAATCGACTTGATGGCACTTAACAACAAGTATACAATTCAGTGACAATTACATTTACTATATTGTCCAACCATCACCCCTAGCTTTTGAGCCAAATAAGCTAAACTTATCCCCATCAAGCCCTGCCCAAATTGGAGATTCACAAGCAAAATAAGTATTGTCATTATTTTAAGCCACTAAATTTTGGAGATTTTTTTCTTACACAACAGCAGGCAAACTAAAGTATCATATTATGAAGACTATCCCAGGGGATTATTAAGTCAGGGAAGTTTGAGGATCTGAATGATACCATTAAATTCCTTGAGGTCAGGGAGTAAGTCTTAATTGCTTTCCAATTCTCCATTCCTTTTTTATGAAATACCTTTATTGGTTCTATTTTTTAATATAAGAGGAGTGATTCCATGATCACGAAGGTGTTTTCCCCAGAGTGAGGCTAATCCATTGCACTTTAGGATGTGCTGACCCCTGCGATTTCCCCAAATGTGGGAAACTCGACTGCATAATTTGTGGTAGTGGGGGACTGCGTTCGCGCTCTCCCCTATAATTGAAAAAAAAAAAAAAGAATAGTACATTTTTGACACAAAATTACAGTAATGTAAGGAGCTCTGGTAGCGTAGTGGTTACGAATCAAGCTGCTATCCTCTGGGTCAGCAGTTCGAAACTACCAGCTATTACACGGGAGAAAGATGAGGCTTTCTGCTCCCGTAAAGATTTACAGCCTCGGAAACCCTGCAGGGTCACTATGAGTCGGAACAATGGCACATAACAACAACAACAAAGTACATAATGCAGAAGGTAAAAAGACGTATGCAGTTTCATCCTCACCTCTACACCATCCCAAGCAATAACCAAAGTTAACGATTTGAAATTACATCATTTTCCATGGAGCAGGTGCTCAAATGGATTTGTTATTGAAGAAAAGGTAACATTGTAGATTCCAGAAACCTCCTATGGTATGTCAGACTGCCACACTAATCTATCCTAGGTAGAGCCATCAGAACCATTTTCTGAAAATCTTAACCATCTTTTTTCTAAGAAATGTGTAGTGTTGTTGTTGTTGTTATGTGCCGTGGAGTTGGTTCTGACTCATAGCGACCCTACACAGGGTTTCTGAGGCTGTAAATATTTACTGGAGCAGTCCACCTCATCTTTCTCCTGCGGAACAGCTGGTAGTTTCTAACTGCTGACCTTGAGGCTCGCAGCCCGATTCGTAACCACTACGCTACCAGAGCTCCTTAAGAAACGTGTAGTAGATGCCTATTAATTAACAAACTCTGTTGAGGCAAACCCACCAACTGCTGTAATCTCTTCTCCCAGTATTTCCCATTATGACATCTGGTACTTGGGTGACGTCGATGTGTTTGCCATCTCAGGTTTACATATGCTATTCCTTCAATGTTAGTTAAATACCTACTATAGTTCAGTGTGCTATACAGTCAAGGGGCATAAAAGAAGCAGAAAACGGGCTGTCATAACGAAGAGTTCTTGGTTTAGAACATGAACCAGCACACTTGTTTTTTTATGGGTCAGATAGTAGAATTTTTAGGCTCTACAGCCTGTCACAATTATTCAATTCTGCCTTTGTAGCACAAAAGCAGCCACGGACAGTACATAAATGGGTTTGGCTGTATTCCAAAAAACCATTATTTCTAAAACAGGTGGCTAGTGGCCCCAAGTTTGCCTATATAGTTTACATGTCAAACAGAACTTTGTACAATAATGAAACGTTTTTATGCTATCCAAAATGGTAGCCACTCACCACATGTAGCACAGTTGAAATGTAGCTAGTACAACTGAGGAACTGAACTATTAAATGTTATTGAATTTTAATTTATTAAAGTTTAGACAGCCACATATATCTTTTGTTGTTGTGTGCCGCTGAGTCAGTTCCAACTCATAGTGAACCTGTATAGCAATCCTGATCTACTAAATCCTCTCTTATTCTGGATTAGTGTACCAGTCTGACAGAGAACATAGGTTTCTGTAATCTACAGTGTTACCTTTTCTTCACTATTACCTTGTCTATAGGGTTTCTGAGAGCAGCTGGTGGGTTTGAACTGCCCATCTTGCACTTAGCAGTCCAGGGCTGATCCTACAGTGCTACAATCATATTGGACAACACAGTATAGAGTGCACCTAACACACCCTTCAGCCAAATCCAAACGGCCTCAAAATGCATCTCCACCAGAAAACCTTCGTGATTGCCCCTGCCAGTTATGGATACTGCCTCTTTTACTCCGTGTCCAGCCCTCACTTACACTCATTTTGGAATTGTTGACATTTTATTTTATGTGTTCTATAACAATCTTCTTGTGTCTGTAAGGCTTTCTTCCCCCAACTAAACAAAAATCCAAAACAGGAAAATGTCTGTTGAGTATTATCACCCTCTTTCTCTTCAGTACCTTGTCTGCTGCTTAGAATCCAGAGGGTACTCAATGAAGACATTATACATCATGTATTTCCTTTGCTGATTTCCCTGACAGGTGGTAGTAACTGCTCAAGACAGAAGGCCCTTTTGGACCAGGATCAGTACTTACTTGGAGAATATTTCTACAATAGCCGACGACTTGTTCTTGTTGACGAGAGAAAGTTCTTTGGCCGTCACCCTCAATGACATTGATGCCCACTGCCGTCTATTAAATGGAGTCGATTCCATCTTGTCTATAGATACGGAAATACCTGTGCAAAAACGACAAATCAGAATATTAGACTTAGAAAAGGATTCTCCAGCATCCAAGAGTGGCAGGGTGTGCTGTGAAGGCAAAGATTCCTACATTAGCAGACCACATTCCTCTACTGGTTCTCCCCAAAACGAATTGTGCAACCTTGGTCAAATGACTCAATACCTTTCGGTTGTGGTTTCCTGTAAAATAAGATGATTTGACCAGATGATCTCTAAGGTCCCTTCTAGTTCCATTTTCCTCTGACTGATCTTACTGGGCAAACATCAGTTGGCTGTTCCCTGAATTTTAGACTATACCAAAGTTACATTTGGAGTGAAATGTTCCCCTCTTCTGACTTGCATCCAAGGGAGGCAAAATCACCACATCAATGGAATCAGGTCCAAATTAGGGTCTACCCACATCCAACTCCTTTTGGTTGCCCTCTCTCCCCAAGCTCTGTGGACACAGCATGGTATAAGTGTGAGGGCTGTGAGGTGAGGCAGATGTCTGTTAAAATCACAGCTGTGTTACCTTGAACACATTATGTAAACTTTCTTAGTTTAGTTTTTATCATCTGAAAAATAAGGATAATACTTACCTTTATATAATTTTGATGTGGGTAAAGGGAAATAATGTATTTTAAATACTAGGCACACTGTAGTACTATCAAGTATTTAAGTATTGTTCTTGGCATAATTCTTATCATTTAAAAGATTGCCTTAAAGACATTTAAAAATGTCTTTTAACAGTTGAGAGAAGGATAATGTACAGGCACAACCCCCACATTATGAACGAGTTCTCCTAAATTTATCTTTAAGTTGAATGTACATAAATCGGAACAATTAGGCACAATTTCTTACCTAACAGTCAAATGTTTGCAATAGTATATATTTGACCTTTCTGTGCATAAAAAAATTAATACTTCCGTATATATTTAAACATCGTTAACATAATAATAATAATGTTTTGACATAAGTAACAAAGTTGCACCCATTTATTATTATAAGCCATTGTATATATTTCAAATTTTTAATGTAATAGGTTTTTGGGGGCTTGGATCAGATCAGATTGTACATAAATCAGACATTTGTAACCAAGACTGGTACTTTAAATTCAGGGGATAAAATTTACAACCTTAAAATCCTTCAAGACAAGTAGCATACAAAGAAGCCAGGCCCTTTATATTACATAGTTCCCACCCACTAACCTGTTGTTTTTTTAATCCAGTAATTACCAAAGGAGTTCCAACCTTTGTTCAGGAGAGGTGAGATTAGAAACGAGTCAACAGTTTCCTTATTTGAAGAGTGAAAAATATAGATTAACATACTACTTGCTGCTCTCCTGACAACCACAGAACATACCTGATCATGTAGAATGTATGGCTCATGAAGTACTGCTCCTAACTCCCTTGGCAACAGTAGAACACACAGTGTTCTAACCAAGTAACCCAAGCTGCCATTTTATGAACACTTTGAAATTTCTAAAACGAAAAGTCCTGTGAGGCAAAGAAAGTGATAGCGCAATCCTAAAAGGCCATACTAACTACTTTTCCACATGTGTATTAGACACACATTCCATATCCTTCTCTGATTCCTGACTCTTAAGTTCTTCTAACTAAATACTTGTCTGAAAAGAACATTAGGTTTGTTATTTTTTAAGTTCTTGTGTTTGAAGGCAACAAGTTGTTGTTAGGTGCCATCAATTTAATTTTGACTTAAAGAGAGTCTATATGACAGAGTAAAACTGCCACATAGGTTTTTCTTGACTGTAATCTTTATGGTAACAGATTGCCAGACCGTTCGCCCTCAGAGTTTACTGAGTGAATTCAAACTGCTAACCTCTGGTTAGCTATTAAGCACTTAACCATTGTGACACCAGGAGTCCATGGAAGGTATTGATGAAGAGTCCAACAGTGGTGTAAACAACTGACAAATGGTGGCAGTTTGAGTACACCCAGAGGTGTCGCCTAAGAAAGTCCTGGCAATTTACTTCCAAAACATCAGCCACTGAAAACCCTATAACACACAGTTCCACACTGACTCATAGGAGTTACCATGACACATTTGATGGCAACTGGTTTGGTTTTTAATATTGAGAAGCCTCAGAGACAGACCGATTTGAGTGTAAGTATTGGCCCCAACACTATGTATATTGTTGTTGTTGTTATGTGCCATGGAGTCGGTTCCAACTCATAGCGACCCTTGTACAGGGTTTCTGAGGCTGTCAATCTTTACAGGAGCAGAAAGCCTCATCTTTTTCCCGCAGAACAGCTCGTAGTTTCAAACGGCTGACCTTGCGGTTCGCAGCCCGATTTGTAACCAGTACGCTACCAGAGCTCCTATCCCTAAGTTAGATTTCACGTCCACAGTTATAATACTGTACTTATTTCACAGCATTCTTACAAGCAACAAGTAAAAAAAGGGTATACAGAATAAGTGAGCAATAAAATTTTTCTAGTATCTCTTCTTGGCTAACCAAAAACCAAAGCAAAACAAAGCCTTGCCATCAAGTCAATTATGACTCATAGTGGCCCTATAAGGCAAGGGTACTAGAACTACTCCACAGGGTTTCCAAGGCTGCAAATCTTTACGAAAGAGGACTGCCTCATCTTTCTCCTATGGAACGACTGGTAGGTTCAAACCACCAGCTAGCAGTCCAATGCTTAACCCAACTATACCACCAAGGCTCCTTTTCTCCGTGTTTAAAATAACCTTTGGTCTGAATGTACTAAATAATATATATCACACCTACTTGTCTGCTTTTCATTTTGTAACTGACAAACCCACCAAACAATGTCAGTCCTTTCTCTAACAATAAAAAACCACATTACATTGATTAAAGGTAGGGTTTCACAGCCGGTTATTGTAATGCCTTTCAACAAATTGTATACCTGTAAAAAACTGAATTGGCAAAAGCTGTGTGATAGATGCACTGCTTATGTACAAACATCTCATGGGATTTGGTTCTTTGGTCAGTAGGTTTACAGTAATACTGTGTTTAGTGCTTCTTTTCTACCTCTTACTTCACTGCATAGTGCCTGGGGTCTTAAAAGCTTGTGAGTGTATCCATCCAAGTTACAGCAACTGGTACTTTTTCACTTGGAGTAAGAAATGACAGAGTCAGGGACATGAGGAGTATATAAAATGTGAAGCTAATTGCCTCAATGAAAAATGCCTCCTCTGTCATGAGACCAGAACTGAATGGGCCTGGCTACCATTGCCAAACATTTAGATCAAAGAGTCTATAGAAGAATCCTGACTAAAAGGGAAAAATTGCAGAACAGATTTTCAAATTCTCATGGATTCCAGGAAGCATGGAGGGTGGATGACCCCCCAAATTATCACCCTGATGTAATCTCTATTCCCTGATGTCTTCTTAAAATGAAACAACAGTTCAGTTTAACTTGTAAAGAATGTCTGCCTTGAGCATTGTGCTCTTTTAATCCCATCTGCATGGGATAAAACTGACAATAGCCATTCAAAAGATTAGATAGGAAAGTTAGTGGGCAGTGAGTTGTTTATGTGACAGGGAAAGGGAGGGTGAGAATGTTTGCATAACTTGAAGGATGTAATCAATGTCAGTGAATTGTACACAAAGAAATTGTTGAATTGGTGTATGCTCTGCTGTAGATTCTCAACAAAATTAAAAAAACAAAAAACAAAACAAAACCCAACAACACAGAAGCAGCAAATAATTCAGCTACATTTAGTTATAAAACCACACTAATGATCCAGTTTAGGAAATGCTGGCCCATACTTTAAGACAAGGATAGGGAACACATTTATTCTGGTAGGGGCCATTTGGATGTTTGTTACATTATTTGCAGGCCATACAAGATGATCTACTTAAAAATTTGCCTGCTATAATGTGATTGATGGAACTGTGGTTGTCTTGGCAGGGTCAGGCCAAATTATTGCACTAGCTTAATTCAGCCTGAAGGCCAGACATTCCCAACCTCTGCTTTAAGACATCATCTGGTACAACCATGTTTCCATTGTAAGCGTGGGTTTAGATGTCACGTCTTCTACCAGGATAAATTCTGGATCGAAGGAAACAAAATATATAAAAGCCATCCTCAAATCTGTTCATGAAAAAGGGAAAGGTATTGGTTAATTGAGAGACTGAATATGATCTTAAAAAAAGAGTTCCAATGTTTCAATTAAGCTAAAAAGCCAAGGGAAGTCAAAATATCTTGGTATAAGCCTAGTACAAGCACACCTTATGTTGTTGGTACGTGCCGTGGAGTCAGTTCCGACTCATAGTGACCCTGTACAGGGTTTCCGAGGATGTAAATCTTTACACGAGCGGAAAGCCTCATCTTTCTCCTGTGGAACAGCTGGTGGTTTCAAACTGCTGACCGTGAGAATAGCAGCCCAATTCGTAACCACTACGCTACCAGAGCTCCTCACAAGCACACCTTATACTTAGTGATAAAGGTGGTTTGCTCATACCCTAAGGACACTTTTCTTTACAGAAGAAAACTGTGATTTTATTTGTTGTTGCTAAGTGCTATTGAGTCAGTTCCAACTCATAGAGACCCTATACCTCTGAGGCATGTTTGGTGAGTTTGAGCCACGAAACTTGCGGTTAGCAGTTCGGTGCTTACTCTATAGTGACATACCAGGACTCCTAATCCACACGGTTTTTTTTTGTTGTTGTTGTTGTTAAGCACCGTCAAGTTGGTTCTGACCCATAGCGACCCTGTATAGGGTTTCCAAGGAGCAGCTAGTGAGCTTGAACTGCTGACCTTGCGGTTCAAAGTGACTTTGCAGTCCAGCGCATTAACCCACAGCGCCACTCCAATCAACCCTGCAAAGTTAATAAAGTTAAAAACTAATACATGATTTATTTTAAAAAAGACTTTGGTACTAGGTTATTGATAACTACTGCCTACATGATATGACTTCATTCTTCTTGGATCAACTATCAACACTTGCGGAAGCAGCAGTCAAGAGATCCGACGATGTATTGCATTGGGCAAATCTGCTGCACAGGAACTTTTTAAAGTGTTGAAGAGCAGAGATG